CATAATTAGCAAAAACATCACCAGTGCCCACATAAACAGACTAATTATTAGCAACATCAAATTATTAGAAACATCAACAATGTACAATAAAGCAGATAATAATTAGTTATTGCCATGACTACAGTGTAAAATTAACTTACTGACTTGTCTGCTGCTATACGGTAAATGTCATATAAATCGACATACTAATTCTCAACAAAATAATGTTAAACCCTTGCTTTATTTGATGCTTTACCTTATTATGTGGCAATTCTTTTAAAAGGCGAGTGAGCCTTAAAATAAAAAGTTATTTCATGTGGATTAGTAGTTATATTTACAAATGCCTTATTATAACAAGTATATTAGACATTTTAAAGCCTACTGACAGTAGGGAGGGTATCTTCCCAGTAGGAAGATAACAATAAAATCCTAACAAAGTTTCTAACTCTTCCTTGTTCTATCCTAAACCCCCAAAAACATTTTGGCTGGCGTTGCGCTTCAGGTAAATTTGTGTTGCAGTTTGCAGCTTATTGCTGAATGTAAATCGATGTTAAAACAATCACTTACAGTATGTTCACATTTATTTTACCAATATGTTTCGCATATATATCCACAATATAAGCTGAGCATTTTTTCATTATCTTATCCCTGAGAAATGCATTTGTTTCCAGATGTCATATGTCACAAATGTGTAAGCGACTGGGATAGAACGAACCTTGTGTGTAAATTATTTTGGGGGTGCTTATGCTCTCATAAATTGGACAGCTGGCACCATGTTTCTTTAGGTCTTTTTCTGGCTTCCAACCAGAAGCCATGACCCTTGTATTAAAGACCTCAAAGTGAAACTTTACCCATATCTTTCAAATAACAAACACACCTTTAGAAATGTTAGTAATGACAATCTACAAATCACATACATCTAGATACGTTACAGCTTTGTGTACTTCATTGTGTACTTCATTGTGTACTTCCACAATGAAAGGACCAATGTGGAAGCTTGGGAAGTGGCGGGGTCAGGTACAACTTGAAATTTACAGGCTCTAGGGAATAAATTATTCCTATTAGTAAACAGTTAACATTATCCAGTAAACACTGCAACTGTGCTCATGTCATAAATGTTTTTGATCTTCTAAAAGACCTTCATCTGAGTTTTTTGTAATGCAGCTAGATTTTGGAGAGCTCCTTAAATAGGGTCAGATTTTTTTAAACCTGTGCTGTGTAACTTCCTGTCTCATTGCTTTATGCATCAAACATCAGATGTAAACTTCATAACCAATTTAAATATATATGGTGGTTAAAAGGGTATCTTAGCTCCAATGCACACTTCACAGCACTGCACCACAATGCATGCTGCTTTTGTGTTGCTGTATTAGCCCATTCAAAATTAATGGGCAGCAACGCACCTCAATGAAGGAAAATTACCACAAAGCACATGTGTGAACAGCCCTAACTGACATTTTAGCTTGAAGTGGGTGTATTTGGGAATACCTCTTCTACATTACAATCAGATAAGCAAAAGGGTTCCCAGATTACCGATAAAAAGCAGTGAGTAGTCTGTGTTTCCTGCATACTTCTGAAGCATCAGTTCTCATTGGATTGGAGTTGCTCTTTGTGATCGCTGCGCCACATGTTGCTTTCCTTTCAGCAAGCTACAAGATGAAATCTGTGTATTGTGTAGCAAAAGGTAGCAGTGTTCCATGTTTAAAAAAGATATTGGAGGAAAGCAAAATGACCAAGCTAACTGTCAGGCAGATTCATGTTGCACAACTGCAGCTGGTAACACAAGCTGACATATACCGAACAAAATATTATATATGGATGAGATGATGTTGAACAATTTTAGAGCATTATGAACAAGCATGCTTTCCATCAGCATCAGCCATGCATACCTTTATAAACAGTGTTTTCAGGAGGCGCACTTAAAATATGACATGTCACACACGAAGAGCTTCTCCGCCGCGCTTGTGTCTCCTCTTACATTTGCAATCATTAGCCAAATGACAGAATGTTTAGTTTCCATAATCCTTTAACTGGCAAATTCATTTCTTCCATTTAATATGTTAATTTGGAGTTTTATTCTTGTGCTTGTTGAACAACGGCTCTGTCTCAATGTTTGTTGCAAATCGTGAGACACGGCAACAAAGCAGAACTTTGTTTTCTGCGTAAGGGGTCCATTTATAAAGATGCTAAAACATAATTGCTTTTCCTATTCCTGGAATTTGGCACTTCACTGTGTATCGCAAATTCTGTACCTATTAATACAGTAATATTAATGAGGTGAGCAAAGTTTTATATAAAAAAGTGAAATTAAAGGGCCGGATAAAGGTAATTCATTATTTCTAAGAATGCACCAATACCAGTATCGGTATGAGACCCCGCACAGCCCATCTGAGACCCCGCACAGTGCACCTGAGACCCTGAATTCATCAGGCCACAGAATATGTAGCTTCATAATATTTTGCATTGCTGTATACTGTATTGCTCATACTTTTAGTCCTCTATAGCCGGTTGCCATTCCGCATTGCTGTATAATGTATTGCTGAGATTTGTAGTCCCCCTACAGCCTGGAGTCAGCGGCAGAACTACTAGGGTCACAGTGGTTACAGCTGTGACTGGGCCCCTGCACTCCACCACTGTCCTAAAATTATTAGTCTGTATTGTTTTAGAAAAACTGTCACATGGTGCTAAAAAAAAAGATATCGGTGAGTTCTTGAGAAAAAGTATCTGTAGTCGTACTTGGTCTGGAAAAAATTGACGCATCCTTCATTATTTCTAATAGTTAGGTTTGGTTTGGTTTGGTGCTGTTCCTGTGATGACAGGACCATTTGCTCCTTAGTGATACAGGGTAGCATCCCCATGGCTGGATGACTACAATTGTATGGGCTGCATGCCATGCCGATACCAGGCCATATATGCCTTTTAGCACTGTAAACTACATCATTATATGGCCCTCTTTTCCAAACACCAGCTTGGTTCTGATGAGCATATACCATATTACCTGTGCTCCAAGAAGGTGGTGCAGGAAATTAGAAATGGAGGTATACCCAAACTTTATTGTGTCCTACATTAATTGCTGTATTATGTGTGAGTCTGAAGTGTTCCTGGCCAGTAAGTGGGCATTGGGTAGAGAGTGTAAGGGCCAATTCAGACTGTTGCATTACAGTAATGGACAAATCTAGGTGTGTTGTATTGCAATTTATTTTGAGTTGCACCTCAATGAACCAAGCTGGTGCACAAGAATGCACATGCTATTTAGCACACCACATGGATGTGAATTATCTGTGCATCATGCTGTGCTGCTTTGAAGAAGATGTTGCACCATCGGTAGGTCTTGTGTAGTGGCGGATTGGCAGCTGGTTTATATTGAAAGGGGATGACTTACATTAGTTCATGGTTTTCCAAAAATGTCTGAATGCAGTCTAAGGGTTAGGATAGGTGGATGCGTTTTGTTTGTCACTGGGCAAGCAAAACACAGCTGCTGTTTGTAGAATTCATTGTGATCTATAGGAGCTTGCTAGGCTGCATTTGTGGACGTTCGGACTATGTATCAAACAAAATAGGCTATGTACAGGTCTTGTATGTAGCACTACACCCACCATCAAGTTGGTGACAGTTCCATGTTGGGTTCAGGGCACCCTGGTTGCTGCTGTACCCAAATTTCAGACAGTTTTAGTAGATGGACCTTTTGCCAATGTAAAATACAGGCTTGAAAAATGCCTTATATACACCTAATTGTTTTTTCTGAGTCTGCCTTTATACTGAAGTTCCTCTGTTTTACCAGTTCTCATGACATTTCTACATATTCCAGTAAAATAGTGTATATTTCCAGCCCTGCCACTTAGCCAAAAAACATTTTCTCCATTTTAGAGTAAGCTTTATAGAACCTCCAACAGCCGTAAACTTGGGGAAAAAACATGTCCTTGTAATCTTCCTAGCTCTGCACCTATGGAAAATCGACTTCAGCTCATGATATATGTGCTGTTACTTTGCTGCTTTTCTCCTGGTGACAAGATTTATATTGAGTTCCAGGTGTCCAACAACTGAAGGTAATGACATTGACATGCCTGGTACTAGCTGCCAACTGGCCACTTTTTGCAATGGGAACAGAGAATTTTGAATCTGGTTGATGTTTTGCCTGGCACAAATTTCCTGTAAATTACGCTATTGGGAGTTTGTCTTAGTGAAAACCATGACAGATTTTGGTATTGAGACTTTAAAGTGGATAATAAAACATGTTAACAGTTATTAAAGAGTTATACTGCTCCAAATATGCTTAGGGGAAAAAAATCTTTGCATGGGAACTTGGACTAGGCTTAGAAAGAAATGACTTTCTGATCCATAGTTGCTGGGAATGTGATGTCTTATTTTAGGTATGAATTTCTAGTAGTCTTTACAGTGCAACAATCCTTTCATTGAAGAAGGATTCCTATTAAAAAATAAATCACATATAATATTCCCATCTAGAGTGTGCTTATTATGACATCTCTCCTGCTGAACGTTTTAGACCACCAAAAACTGATATTTCACTTAGGGTTGAATTCTGGAGGTCTATATTTTCCACTTGCCTCTTAAGTTTGTCAAGAATTGTGAGAGGATAGATCTTTTCTCCTGAAGAGTTCCTAAATACACATTATATGGAGGTGTGGCAGTCTCATTCTCCCTTTTAGTATTTTTGATTTTGGGCCCATTAACACTAAAGTGCTTTAAAAGCAACCCTGTTGTGAAATGAAGATTCCCCTGTAGAGGATAAATAATACTCACCTGTCTCAACAATTGAGTCACCAAACTTTGCTCTCTGCAAGAGCTATGGTGCACAGAGAATCCACTTCATCCGACACACTTCCAGGAGTGATGGATTCATAGTCCCTTGCTAAGCACTGTGGTTCATTCTTCCAGCCCCCAGGTCACGGCTGGACACAGTAATAATGCTGAGGCAGGCATAATGACCACAGCACTTGGTGGAGGATCAAAAATGCTTTGACATTTCAGATGAAGAGGATTCTCCAGGTAGTTCACCGTAGCTTTTAAAAAGATTAAAGACTGGTGTTGTGTGCAGCAGGACAGGTAAATATAAAGTCTCCTTTACCAGGGGAATCGTCTTTTTCATTTTGCAACAGGGTTGCTTTAACACACCGCAACACATGTACACAAGTAACCATTGTTTTGCATAGTGCACATCTTTGCAATGTCTGGACGTGCACTGTCCATTTTCACATATTGACATACTTTGTAGGATCTATAGATGACAATGGCAGCACATAAAATGCATAATTGTTAATAACAGATGTAAAAATCCATACAAACGTGCACGGAAAGGTGTAAATCCAGCCTGTGTATCACGTACCTGATGGGAGACTGGCCGTGTGAGGAGGCTTCCCTTGCACCTCGTGTCCTGAGGCCTCTGGTAGTGGAGACAGAGACCTGGCGGACAGCGAGTGCCAGTGGTGTTGAAACCGTGCAAGCAGAAGTTTGCTTCTCTAGCTGAGCAGGGGTAATCCGGAAATCAGGGTCAAAACAAGCCGAGGTCAAACCAGGAGAGCGTAGACGGTACAAAGGGATCAAGCAGAGAGAAGTCCAGTATTCAGTCCAAGGTAAGTGGCAGGCAGCAATCAAGATTAGTCGAGGCAAGGTATTGGGTCAAAATCCAGGAGACAGGCAATTCACAGGGACAGGACACACAAACACGGGAAGGGCTGAAGACAATCCAGCAATCTGTAGGAGTGCAGGCCGGGTTTAAATAGGGAAGTAACCTGATTTAAGCGCATCACTTCCTGTGTATCATTTGACGAGTTTTCCTACGCGTCATGCGCCCAAGTGTTCTATGAACATCACAGAGAACTGGATTTGGCGCACACGCAGAAGGTGAGGGTTGCTGACACTGTTTTTTCATTTGTGCAGGGGTGGAGAGATAATATGGAACTCATAAGCCAATCTGTCCAATGCATGAGCCAGCAGGATTTTTTATGAGCCAGCTCTATTGACAACGGCTAGTAAAAACCTTAAAAGTTTAGAACCAGCTGTATCTCTTAAGGAGCATTAGCTACCTGCCTCCTAGGATTTGTCCAGCCAAGCATTACTGAGAAGGCAGCAGATCGAAGTGACACTCTTTATGCTGCAACAGGAGGAGTTGGCCTTTATGGTATGGGCGTGCGGAGCCAGGAATTTAGGTGGGAAAAATTGAATCCCAACAGAAGTTATTGGCTGATTCCCAACAATATCTAACTGTAGTTGATTCATCAGTTTTGCTGGGAGAGACCCTTTGAAGTGGCCATAAGTTGTACAGTTGTATCCACTTTAATAGATTAACCAGACATTATAGAGCAAGTTAATGGCAGTAAAGTTATCAAACACCTGTGAGCTGTACATAGGGGATCCTTCTCTCCCATTGGGTCATGGGTCATGGGTCATGTTTCCTGGAGCTGTGCAGGCCCTGTACTGGCCCCTGTCAGTCCGTTTGGATGAAACATGTTGAGTGGAGATTGAGCATCGACATCACATGCTGCCAGCTTTGATTGGGCGTCAGCATTTTATATGAGTTTGTAGCTGCCTTCTACATTGGTTTCTATGCATCTTTAATAATTTTGTAAGCTTTTCTGTTTTGTATTATGGGAATGCCAATCTGATGAGAGCATTGCCAATCTGATGAAACTCATTATCTTCTTTGCGACACTCGATTCATGTGCCACAGATTCTCATACATGAACTGGCCTTTGTGATTGGAGGTCTTTTATCTAGTGGAGGTCATGAAGTTGTCTTTTTACATGCTGCAGACCTGGAATGTACAATAGTATGAGATCCTGCATATTGACCTTTGGGGTCTGTGCCGCTGGCGAGTTATCACTCTGGGTGATGGTCATGAGGTGGATTTTAGAAGTCTCACTCCAATTTAATTGTGATTTATAGTGTAGGTAATCTTCCACCATTGGTCCATTCTTCTCCAGTTTATTTTATTATTTTTATTTTGGTGGTCATTGAACGTTGGTACTTGGAGGATTGCTAATACAACCCTTCTGAAAAAAAGTAGCTAGTTTCATACACATATACTGACCTCTATCATTTTGGGATTCTGATTTGGCGAGTTAACTTTATTTTCAGTCAGTGGTCATATTTGAGTTGTGCTTGTGGTTCTCCTTAAGGGGTCTAGTCTTCACTACATTAGGATTACGTATATGATTCTTTGATGCAAGATCTAGTCTTCACTTCATTAGGATTACGTATATGATTCTTTGATGCAAGCTGCTGCCATTCATCGAACTTTATTAGTGCAATTTTGTTTTCTGCACTGGTGGCACTGATGTCAACAGTTTTTTAAATGGAAGTGAGAAAAGCTCTGCTCGTATCTGTGGTTCCACCACAGACCTGCTGCACATCACATGAGGGATTTAGGTCCTGTCTACTGAATCAGACCTAGCGTCAGTCTAGGTCTGCTTTATACAGTCGTAAGCCAAAAAAGAAGAAGAAAAGATGGGGCTTTGAAAGATTTTTTACTGTCTGCTTTATACAGTTAACAAGGGTAAGCAGTCGCAATAAAGATAATGAACTTGGTCTGCTGCAGCAAGCATATACTGTGGTGCTTTGGTTCCACACCACATGACCAAAACCTGGCTATGGGGCCTTCAGCAGATTTTCACTGTAAACACCAAAGTTGGTAGTCTTCATTCACTTTAACTGAAGTTTCTGCTGATGTCACCACCCCTTTGTTAGAGTACGTGGGTTTGTTTTAAGCGCATGCTAATTCCATTTCTACTTTAATTTTGGACGTTAGTCCCCTCTAATGCAGTGGTGCTTTGTCTTACCCTCATTTCCATTTACAACCTAGCCTGTCGTGAAAAAAAGCATTTGGGGGTCTTGGTGAATTATGGCTTTGCAACAATCTACCTATGTCTGATGTGTGAGCAGCTCCTTACCTTATCCAATGAATTTTTATTGCAGGCCTTTAAGAAGAGAATAAAAAAAAACCTCTTGCATCTATCGGACTATCTGTAAACGTTTAATGTATACAGTTTGTATTCTCCTGACGAGCATTAAACACTCCTGTAGCTTGGGGGGACGATTGCGCTTAAATACTTCTGGAGAACTATATGCAAATCGCCCTCAAAATTTTTGCTTCATGTATTTCTTTCAAGCGCTTGACTGGACTGTTTTGTTTCATGTTCTTTTATCACCTTCAACAACGTCTGATGAACGTAAACAATCCCCTTTCTCTAGAAGAAGAGGGAGAGGAAAAAAAAAAGAAAACCCTATTATTATTCAGAGGCTGAAATATGACAGTAGCTTGTAGAACATGTTTGCATTATGCTTTATATTTACTCACTATAGATATCGACTGAATAATATTAACTGGTTACAGCTCTTGTAGTTGGAAGCTGTTTACTCACATTGACTTCAGCAAATATTTTATCTTGGCCAGATTTTGTCATGTACACAGTGCTGAAAAGTACTGAGTGAATAAATTACCAGCAAGGTACAGAAGACATCCCTTTCTAGAGGAATTCCCACAGGGATGTTTTCCTATTAAAGAATTATTGCATAGGGCTTTAATGCCAAAAACCCACGCACTGCCAAGTAATATAAGAAATTCACCACTTGTTCTTCATTTTGCTGGACAAAACAGATTTGACTGTTCCAAGATGACAAGTTATCATGTGTCACTGAGTATCCATATTCCTGTCTTTTCTCCCAAAAAGTCATTTTCCTTGATTGGCATTGAGAAAAGCTTTTCCATGTTGCATTATACATGAAAAATGCATATACAAGCATAGCTATATAATTCTAAATAAGACACATGTCTAGATTAATACTTATGATCTTGTAATATATTTTTATCTTTTATTTGTTCTGCCTTGTACTGGCATTTTTTTTTTACCTAAATGTATTTGCATGTTTTTAAATTTGCTTTTTATTATTCTTTTGATCTGTTTGAAAATGTATAAGTCCATATGTGTATGTGCAATGTGTGTGTACAGTGTCAGTGTTTGCATTTGTCTGCCAGAAATCCTGTGGTGTCCTAAAATGTGTCTTTTAGACTACAATACTGTGAAATACTGTGTGTTTCAAGAAACATATGTGCTTTTCACATACATAAATTGCCATATAATATATTACATTATGTGTAAAAATAAATATGATCCATACCAGTTCAAATGTTCTATACAAATACGATAGTCCTTTATTTTTTTTCTTTGCAATTGCATTCAAATGTTCCTTTTTCCAGTTAGTTTTTGTGCAGCCTTACATGTGTGTTTTGGTTTTTGTTTTAGTCACAGCTAAAAAAAGATTAATACAATTGTATGACAAACACTTGAATTGGTTAGACCCATGAATAGGCAAATTGCTGCTGTGTGCTTTATTAAATTGCTTTTGAAATTGAATGTAGGTACTGATCGGCACAGGTCTTCAGTCTCTCTGTTATACAAACCTCGACCACGGTAGAGAAAGTCTAGCTCAAGCTTTCCCCCATTCTACATCTTACTTTTGGAGCATGAGGCCCCTCAATATTCTAAGGCTGGGTTCACAAGTTTTGATAGTACTGCGCATATCATTTTACCACAGACTATGTGGTGTTGTGCCTTTCATTTAAAATGGAACCCATGCACAAACACAGGTAGGTGCCAGCAAATGTGCACTACAGTGCATCGCAAAACTATTAATTCAACACACCTAAGTGCAGAAAATGCATGGATTAACACACGCACAAGTGTGAAGGGGTTCTGAGGGACTAATAAAGAGGTGTGGTAATGGGCGGGCCAGACGTTGACGTTCTTTACTATTGAGATATGCAAAACAGAACACCCTACACATCTGTGTGTGTGTATAGCACCTGCTTTCAGTTCATGTGGACGATGTATTACCTTTATCCACTTTTCAAATGGGCACTGTCCATTCCAGTTAGCAGGGGATCTGTGCACAGATCCCCTTCTGATCAGAGAAGAATGGAACGGATGTGACATGCGTGTCCAGTTTTTTTTTTTCTCCATCTTGTGATGGAGGAAAAAACTGAACTAACTGGACCTATGTTGGGTCTCTGGGCAGTCGGATGTAAATGGACATGTGTCTGTTCCCTC